TTTCCTGAGCTTTATACTTCCAAATGGTTCGTAATTTGGCTACACTACGCTATAAGGAACGAATGTGATGGATTCTAGACCTTAAATCTTGTTAAAGCCTGGTTTCCTAGCAACTTCACCATCTATATTTTCGGGCACTACCTCCCTATGGACATGCTTAGGAGGGGCAGGAACTTCGGACAAAATGAAATTGCTTTTGATCTGGCTCTGTCCGCCCCGCGTAAGGGCTTAGCCCTGTTTTTTACAAAGAAGTAGATGTTTTACGCCAATTCGAATTCATTGCCATCACAATGCCCCGTATCTTGTGATAGCGCTTGTTTTCGTCGGCATTGAAATTTTCTATGTTATTTTTGTTAGAGAATAGTTCTTGGAAACAAGTTGATTATCGAAAACCATCCTGAAATCGTTTACCCTATAAGGGTTCAACAGTAATTGTTAGGAGCATTCGAACTAATAGGGTTTCCAGACCGAACCTTACCCTGGTTCCATCACTTAACTGAAAAAAGTCGCAAGCTTTCCTGTAAACTAGAATTTCCAAGAGAATATCGGTCGCGTCCAGCTGAAGCCTCTTCAGCTCTTTTATAGATTGTGGAGCATTATTCTTGATAAATGAAAGGCTATATGTTATGGGAGAATTTTTCGACTCATCCTTATTCGACTTCTTTTCAGTGACAGTACGGCGAAAATGCGATGTCGTATGCGGAAACAACTATTCATTCAGCGTAATAAGGTGTGGCGTTCGTCTGAATTCTTCTCCTCTACAAATTTGCCTCATACTTAACATAATTTTTAATTGTTCTACATACAAATCACAATTTCTGATTTTTCTATTTATAATTTCTTCCAAAAAATCGATAAGTAGCAGTTTTTTGCAGATATATTATATTTTAACCTGCATCCCAGATTTTAGAATAGGTTCACGCTCACTGCTCTCAGCATTCATTACTCGACCCTGCTTACGACTCCCTCATCGCTACAATTACTATTTAAATTGATATTTAAGTTACGAAAACTTGCATGATTGGACTTTGAACCAGGGTCAACCGTCACGTTCGAACATTTTCGGGATTTTTGCGACCCCCCCTCTCGAGGGGGTCCAGTTGCGACCCCCACCAATACACAGTTGCGACCCCCCAATACAACCAGCCATCCCCCACCGCGACCTCTCCCTCTTCTATAGTATTTGATTTCTGAAACCAGTGGAACGGCAACTTTTTTCCCACGCACGCACCTATGCCCTGCCACCTGATGACCAAAGTGCGCAATGCGACCCCTCTCCCCTCCCAGAACCCAAATGCGACCCCCCCGTTCGAACAGTTCGAACGGACGGTTGACCCTGCTTTGAATCCAGGGGTTTTATTTGTAGTTACATGATTCCAGTTGTCATTCAAACTGCAAAAATTCCACCAGAAATGAAATCTTGGGTGGAATAGGGAAGCACACGTGACGTCAAATTCAAAATCAGGTCTCAAAATCTCAATACGCACCGTTTAGAGTAAATTAATTGTTAATTTAAATAGTAGTTATAGCGATAGCTCGTAAGCAGGATTAAGTAAGTGAATAACCTATTCCAGAGAATGGGTGTCAACCTATTTTGAAATATGGGATGCAGGCGAAAATATATTGCAGAACTGCTACTTTTCGATTTTTGATCGATATCGATTCACATTATCCATTTATGTACGTATGTGGAGAGGCAGCATTTGCATCTGCTGGCTGCTTCATTTGACCTTTTAAACCTAAAACTTGATGCTCTCTCGCCTAAACCGCGGCTCATACTACTGGGATCTCACATTTTCCAACTTTCGCCACACTGTAATTGGCTCACCCCCTCTGGAGTCCCCCTCCTCCAGGCTCAATCTTGGGGCTTTCATGTTACTCCTTGAGATTTGGAGCTGAGCCAGCCGCCGTTCTCTAATTATCTGTACTCGAGCCATTCCGCAGAGCCATTGAGGAGAGTTTCAAGCAGTCCTGTAAACCCCGCATTTGCTGCCAAAATTTACTTGTCAAATAACTATGGGACAACTTTGCTTCTAATAGAACTGACGGTTTTAAATTGATAAAATGGGTGAAACTCCAGTTCGGGGGGGGGCACTCCATTGCTATCTTATCCGTAGTACTAGAGAGCAGTTCTTTGGGCTATCGAACACTACGGATAAGATAATAAGTGAACGACTCATTTCGAGCGTACTTTTGATAAGGACCGGTGGATGTCCTACATTCCACACTACCTGCCCACATCCCATCCACTTTTCTGCACAGGTGATCCACCCTGGAGCTCCTGCACCCTTAGCCCTTTGCGGAGGTGTCCTTTCTCCTGGTCCAGGACCGTTCCCTTGGGTCATGGCAGGCGGAAATGTGAAAACGTTTCAGGGTTTCTCACCCATTACACCAATATTTATCAGAAGTCTACTTTAAATGAGTCGATTACGTGTCGTGAGCCCTCTAATCCTTATCTTGAGTATTGGAGAAAAAATGGAGTGCCCCCCCCCCGAACTGGAGTTTCACCATAAAGTGGTAAACCAGGTTTTGAAAAGTTAATTTAAAAATTAATTAAATGGAGTTAGTGGTTTTCTTCAGAATGTAGATGAAATTAGATCAAAATCAAAGGTAGACTATTTACTAATGAAGTTGTGTGTATTATTATTATTTTGTTGCAGAAAGCGCTAAGGTTATTTGGAAATGCTCCCAAAATTGAGTCCTTGATGACTTTTTCTTCAATGGCTGTTCTCAGTTCAGATTTCGAAAACTCACAATTCAGGTCTGCGATTTCTCTCTCATATTAGCGATAGCCGGGCTGTTGTTCGTCATCGTCGATGCCGAGCTTACTGCACTTTCATCCACTACTCATATCACAAAGGTACGAGATCTGAGTACCTTCGGTTACCAAAAATCGATTATCGATTAGGCCTTGCTCAATTCCTCTTGCAAACGTTGCGAACGGGCTTTGCCTCCCACATGAGTGCTTCTGGGTATTGAATTTCAGAGCGTTGGGAAAGGATTAGTGTCGATGAATCTCGCCGTCGTTCCATGCGTCCCTCGTCATTTTGCGTTGGTAATGAAGAAATCGGAGTGCGTAGGGGTGGGAATAGGTTCCTTAAAGGGCAACAACAGTGCAGCAATATGCCAAAATTATCTGGGATTTCGAGGAAAATTCTTCGAAACCCCGTGTCTGAAGTGTGCTAGCACGGCGCTCGAGTGAGAAGTTGGAGCTAGGGTTATCAAATCAACTCGAAAGTGCACAATGCTTTGCATTACTCCATGTCATTTCGAAATGCAGCACGCATTTCAAGTACTTCCAGTGGCACTGGTGGTGCCAGGTTGAAGACGATTCGGTCTATGCAGTGACCAGTGGGGTCAGCCGTGAGCAAGTCAGCAGTTTTATTTATCCCTACTTCTTCTACTTGTTGTCCAAATCCGGAGAGATGGGGCTTGCTTGGATGAGGGGCACACGGCAACTATTCGATCCTCAGACCGTGCACGTAACAAGCGACGCCACCTGAGGTACCCCACTTTCGCTCAGAATGTGTAGAACATTGTAGACTCCATTAAAGGAGGAATTCACGATTAGAATGAAGGTCGAAGAAAGGGAAACTGACCTAGTTGAGGGACCCACGGACCTCCTGAGGGTGCGAACTGACGCGCAATTCGCATGGAAAAATTTGACCTCGGCGACCTATCATGCCTCAAAGCTGGCGGGTCCGGCGATCTCCGCCCACCGATCATCTGATCACTCGCCGTAGTTCAATACGTGGCGAGTGATTAGATAGCTGAGAGAGCGTAGTGTTGAAGAGGGCACAGCGATGAGAGTCGCATCAATGCTCGAATCAACGGGCAAGGAAGGGGTACCATTTCTCGGGTTCTGGGCCGTTTCTCATGGTTCTTCCTTCTTTCGTGTACCACTCACCATCCCTAGGTTAATTTGAAATGGGTTGCTTTTTCATCGTGAATTCGTCCTTTAAAAGAATCAGTCTGTGATGGACCTGGAGGCGCTCGTATGGAAATTCAGAGAGTGTGTGAACGCCTACGATTGTGTGTGATGCCCTTGTTTCCATTTTCGTAGAGACGTGTTATATAATGATTAGTATTAGTTAGCGACATGCACGCGATGAACAACTGCCTGGACGGGGTGGTCGCTTAGTTTCTCAGGGCCGACCACGCCTTTGTAAATGGTTCTCTCATTAGGCCATCCGCGGCTGTTTTGAGTCCTGGCATGACTACTTCCGTAAAAGTGATTCCTCAAGGCTACCGAGAGTTCTCGCGAGTGCGCCGAACCCTCCACAATTCTGCAGAGCCGTAGAGCGTAAACAAGGGAGCGCAGGGATAGACGCCTTAGGTCATGACTGCTTCCCTTACTAACACTGAACACTAAGAAGGCTATACTGTACATTCGTTTTCAAGCAATCGTTTAGGCTCACAATATATCCTTACTTCTTCGCTCCTTAGCCGTGCTCACAACCATATGCCTCATGTGCTGTCTCATCAATTATCATGCAATAGAAGTAAGTTGTTAATTTCCTCACAAAATATGTTTAGGTTTCTCGACCTGTAAAATAACTGTTAATTGGAAACAAATAGAAACAAAATTTTGCTCTCATAATGCGGTCATGTATCAGCTGCGTCTTTTTTGATCCCACTGGTTAATAGAGGTTAGAAAGAGATTCAGTCGCCATTGCTTCATAAAGACTAAATTTCTAGTAATTTATACCACTAGATTTGCTCGCAAACAAGTGTAAGGCCTGCCTGCTCGATAAGCTAGAAGTATCCAGTCTTCTCACTTGGATAAAGACTGTCATGGAAGTGCTTTCTGGTGGTCAATTGTTCTCAAAATCAAGCTCAAGAGCTTCCAGAAAAATAAAGTTTCGTCACAACATCCACCACACCAATGAAAGAGATGAGTCGAACCGTATGTACTTCTGATGGAACCAGACGAGGAGCCATATTTGAGGTTGACGAAATTCAAATAAGCTCGAAGGGGGTTATATTTGTGGAAGCAGAGGGGTTCGTGGTTGTGGGAGAGGGGTTTCGTTTGGAGTGACCTCGCAAAGCTGGTGATGGTGATGAGGGATGTGAAAATCCGAAGTTGCTCTGGCACCACGGTTTGACCCAGGTACCGTAAAAGCATAGAAGACGCAAAACAATGGCGGCAACAGCACCAATCTAATAGTTAGTGCCGTGGTACCTTATGCTATATGTGGATTTGTATGTGTGAATGTGTCGTGCAAATTTTGATAGGGAAATTCGTTTATTTTGAAATAATGTGAAATTTTCTTTCTACAAGAGGATTTCATTCCTCTTGCAATCTAATTATTATGATAGAATTCCGTTTCCCCAAATCTCAATGGCATCCTTCGCTTTTCTTCAGGTAAAAATAGCGTTGATTGATTCGGGTGCCGATGATTGGCGCGTCGCCGTAAGCATGGACCGGGTGGTCAAGCTGTCTGTCGAGTTGGCGGTCTGTGTCATTTGCCCATTTCCAGGTCAGTCACTCTATTTTTGACTCACGATAAGCACCGCTTTATGCTAGATGTATGTGTGCATTCGAAGGCCAAAGGTTTATTTGTCTATGAACATTATTTAGAAAAAAAGCTGCTTTCGTGAGTTGTGTTGCGGAGTCTTTTTTGTTTGAGTATAATGTGTGAGTTAGCAGGGTAACAGTACTGGAATATTCGTATGATTCGTCTTGCGAACCGTCAGTGCACAGCACCCACACTTGCCCGCA